TGGTCACATACTCCTAGGTCATGTGTGATTTAATGTCAAATACCTCCTCAAACCATGCAATCTCAAACATTGATATAGCATGGATACAACATAAACTGTGTGCCAGGGTCACCTCTTTTTTGGCATGAGATGGGAGAGGTTGGATTTTTGGCTCTTTCCTTCCTGATGACATATTACATATCGGTTCACAGGTCCTATCTCGCTTTCCTTCAGTATAGCAGGCGTTTGTGACAACTGTTTGTATTTGGGTTCACAATTGTTGATCCCACTAGTGTTTGAACAGCCAAGTGAATTGGTCTGCGCTCGATGAGTCACTATCCTTCCAATGCACCTTCAACCTGAAGGCGACGTTGGTAGAGAACATTCCAAACTGTGTTTGCCCAAATGTGAACAATTTGTGTGATTATATATATATTATATATATATATATTATAACAATGTGGGATGCATAGACTCGAGTCTAGACTCTGTTTACACCTCGTGTCTCTGCCCAGAAACTCGTGAGGACGGGGCCCGGACCAATGTATCACGGATGAGGTAGGAATTGCTCTCCTGCGGAGCAATCACGGACAACCGATCACCTATGTCACGGTCCCCACGCGGTTCCCACATGCACAATCATGGGACCTCCAAACAAGCGTCTGACAATGTCTGACATACACTCCGATTCACTAACATGGAAGTGGAACATGGTCCTTGAAAGACCACTTTCCTTTACGAACTGGACGTTTTCCACTATGTGGAGCGTATTGAATCATGGAAGGTTGATCTACAAGTGTCCAGGTGCCGGAATCGGGACGAAAGGGACATTCACAAGTGAAATGATTTGGATGGGTTCGAGAAGGCATACCGCGAAAACATTGCACATGAGACATATAAATATATATATATATATCATATATTGTTTGAAGCTGATTGAGCACACCACCGCCCCATACTGCCATAGGCGTTTTTGCTTTGGGAATGCGGCCTGGCCCATTCTCGGTCTTCTACAGCCGGACAGTCCGGACAGAAAAGGCAAAACACCCCGCCAGACGCCGCCCCTTTCTGAATCAAATGTACAAATTCCATCCATTTCCCCCGTTTCGTGTGTCTTCAAACCACCTCCTGGCTGCTGCAACCATAGCGCTCATCCACCAAAAAGACCTGAGACTTTGCGACAAAGGGGCACCTCCGGCTGTTGGGGTGGTGGTTAGGCCCAGAGCAGCAGCAATCGTTTATAATGATCGGCATGGGCTCGGGTCAGTCAGTCTGAGCTGGTTCCCTCCGATCCCCATAAGTCCCCCAGGAGGCTTGGTATCATGATGTGAGTTGGAATGAAACTTCAACATTTACTTTTCGATCACATTGTCTTGACTCGCCTGAGAGGAATTGAAGGTCCTGATGCTACCGCGAATCCAAAGCAAATTCGCATACTGGTCCCAGTCGGGCGGATTCCTTGATGGGGTCTCTGAGGGAATCTGCAGCACCAAAATCACACATGGAGGTTCACATAGAAGTGGCAAAAGCCCTACCCACAGAGTGACTAAGGCGCACACAGTGAACCGGCGACCCGGCAGGGTACAGTATACCTTCCTTTTGCAAAAAGGAAACGGAATGGACAATGGGGATGATCTTCATGTCATCCCAAACGCCTGGTACAAGGTTGTCAGTGCTACAGTTGCTCTGGGCTCCACATCCACATCCAGTCCCTTCGATTGGTCGACACCTTCCATTGCACCACTTGATGGAAGAAATCCTGCAGCACCCCAGTCACCCCACAGCAGCTTTGGGCAACTTCCTGAAAAAAAGGCACGCACTCACTTGGTGCATCATCGTGTGTTTCTGTCCCCTGTATATACTGATCGCTTCCACCCGAGGTAACCCCAAAACTGACATCAAATATCATGAGATATAATGATGATTCTCATGTCCCTGAGCTCTCTGTGGAAACCCACCTGTTGTCAGGCACGTTCCCTCGTTTTCAGCCGACGTCTCAGCCAGCGCAGTATGGGGAAGTCATGGGACCGTAGGAGTTTGAACAGGTGACACAGATCCAACACATCCGGGGCACGGCATCCAAACACTTCAGTCCGGTCCCACACTTCACCTCACGCCTTGGCACTTCGCCTCGAATTCGTCCGTCGCGGAACTTCTCGTCCGTCGCGGCGGCTTCGACGCCTGGGTCTCCACACGAAGACCCTCGACCAATCCACGCCCATGCGGCCCGCGAGGGTGGACCACACGTCTGCCTGCCTGCGGCCCAGCCCGAGGACGCTGCTTCTTGGGAACGACCCGGGACGTCGTTTGGGAGGCCGGAGCTCAGTGAAGAACGGTTGACTTGAGTCTGGGGTAGCCATACAACACCAGACATATTTATATAGTTAGTGAATTTCTTAGTGCTCATGTTCGACCCAGATTAACTGAACATCAGAATCCTATTGCGAGTTCAATAGTTCGCAGTGAGCGGTCAACTTCACGGCCCACACGAGCATGCCAATGATTGGTCCATTTGGAGTTTCCCATCCCCAGTTGTGGATTCTGGCCGACCAAAGGTCGCAGAACAGGCGAGGAGCGACCCCCCCACACATCAACACACATCCAAAAGAAATGCATACCTGGTTTGGAACTTTGACATGTCCAATGTGGATACTTAGATTAATACCTGGTTTGGAATTTGGAACTGTCACCGACATCAACCAGGTATTCCCAGGTATTCAATCAGGTTTGGTGCCATGCACAACGACGTGGCATGGAATACAAAGCCCAATCAGAAACCAAAAAAAACATAAAACGGTCTTTGATTGTAAAATGATGTGAAATGAAATGGTCAAAAGTTGATTCCCCTCAAAACCTGTTGATAATATTGTTGTGCTTTCTACTCTGATTGCTGCTCAAATGGTTCGAACTTGTCCATTCCGTTTATTTACAATTTTCCCCTCTCCAGTCTCCGAAGACCTGCCTTGTTTGATCCAAATGGCCCATCCACCAGGTCTCCAAGTGATCATTGAACAAGCTGTTCCGCCCACCCAGCATGTGTCGAAACATGTTCATCGTAAAGGCGACAATCATAAGGTCCGGGATCTAAAATCATGAGGGTTCATTTTGGGCGGATTGCATCATAGTATGCTGGGGTAGGGCATAATCGGTGCCAAGTTGGTGGGAGCTCCACACTGTGCCGCTGCACTGCGCCACTGGCTCAGCGGAGAGCACTTACAGGTTGCTGCACCCACAAGAGTCAACCCTATCAAGCATGAGTGGTCATGAGTGATATGTGTGTTTTTCTTTTTCGCATGAGTGGTGCAGTATCCTGGGAACGTGAGGCTAAAGCAATCTTCCAAACTCCAAACATTCCAACTCCATTTCTGAGCAACCTGCGTATACTCCCACCCACAAAGAGCCCTGGGCCCTAGTGCTTCTTGGATGAGATCACCTAAGTAGGGTAGTCCATGGCCTAGTTTATTATTGGAGACCAAATGGATTCTGGTTGTTTCTTCATCCTTTTTCCATCTTCCATGGCTTGCTCCACTCAACTTTCGCCCCACCTGGCACGGCGCATCCGGCCATTGGAGGCGGAAAGCCCCAGCACAAAGTTGGAGGCCTCGGCGAACGCTTCTGCCGACGCGAACGGTTTCGAAGGAAGGGAAGGTCGGTCGCCACTGACGTTGCGCTCCTGCAGGACGAGCGAGTCTTCTTTCTGAGATAGATGAAGCAAACAAAATGGGTCTTCATGGGTTATGTTTATGTATTTTGTGTGATTGTGTGTGATTCTTTATTGTTCTACTGCAATGTCAAGTCAGGATGCATACACCCCTCCTGGTTAGTCCGAGCCCACAAAGCCTGGGAAATTGCACAGATTAAAAGGATTAGGTGGCTAACTTCCCCCCTGAATCAGTCAGTTGGGCACTAGAACCTACCTACCTACCTACCTGCCTACCTCCCTCCCTCCCTACCTACCTACTTATGACTTATGAAATTCCAGAAAATATCTGGGGTTAAGGGATGTTCTGCAGGAAACACAATATAGCAATCATTTGAGAAGAGACATAAAGACAAGGCCAAAAGCACCCCTGGACCAGAAGTGGAAGAAATAAGGACAAACATCCCCTCGAAGGAAGCGTTGTTGTTGCTGCTGCTGTTTCCGTTGCCGTTGTCGTGTGCTCCCTTTTGGGAAGCCTTGGGGGCTGGGGGGGTGCTTGGGAGGTGGTCATGGTTAGAGTTAGAGCAGGTTCCAACTGTATGGGTATTCAGGTCATCATCCATCAGCTCCTCACAGCGCTGCCGACTTGGCAGAAAATGCCACAAGGTGTGGGTACACCTTCGTTCCGAACACCCAAACACCCATGGTCTTCATCTCAGCCACCTGACTCATATTCATCATCTTCTGCTTGCCCACCCTTACCTACCCTCAGGATTCCTCAGGCTCCAAACACTGCGTCCCTGGTGCTTGGCAATGCATTCCTCGCATGGGGACCAAACAGGTGGCCAAGCAACGAGCCACCAAAACACCCCAAAGTGAAACAACAAGGACTCACCCAGTTCCAAGCTGCCATAACTTGGACTGACTCAGAAAGCTATGCTATACTATACATACCATGCAAACTCTGGACCCAGTATAACAGGCTTCTCCATGCAGAATTGGCCTCACCTTAAGTTGCTATCCTACCGCTAAGCAAATCCTAGCCAGCCAAGTTGACATGGTGGGTCGCGTGAATTCCTGACGAACCCACCGGACCATCAGAAATGCTGGTTCCCAATTTATCTAGAATCTAGAACATTCTAGAACCTAGCTAAGTCTAAACTTGAGCCCTGGATGGCCCTCAAGTCCTTCAATTGTTCCAATGTCCATATCCATCCCTCTGACTCCACCAACCACCATCGTCCCCCCGTCCAAAACACCAACCTTTCCAGTCACCCCGCTCGTCCCTTCCGTTCCTTGCACCCGTCGACGTCGCCCGGACCTCGATGTAGTCGACGGACTTGGCCACAAAGTCCCGCTCCGAAGAGGCCACAATCCGCTCGATGCCCATGGATGAGTCGGATTGGAGGTGAAGCCAAACAGGAAACGGAGGTTTTGGTCGGCACAGAGAAAAAGGCAAAAGATCAACGGTGTGGAAGAAGGGTGGTTTCGGATCATGTGGTTTGTTGATGTTTGTTGTGGATTGCCATGTTTTTTTTGTCGGTCACCACCTAGTTTTGCAAGCATTTGCATGTCTGTGCGCTCTTTGGGGGATGATGAAAACACATTGGTTGGGGTCACTGGCAGGACCCAGCTTGCATGTCTGGAGACCTCCGAATTATAGTGGATTGAGAGGACCAATGGCCGATGGCACAGACCCCAATGTCGGTGGTTTATATGGACCCCCATCTGTCTAGGACATCATAGAGGAAACGTGCCATCGAACCTCCGAAACCACTGTAAAAACACCCACCTGGACCAGATCAGTCAGGGAAGTGTAGTTTGTCGAAGACTTGTCGTATAGCGTCCTCCAACAACATGTGTCCCTGAAAACCAAGCGGCTGTCGGTCGATGAGGAATTCCATCCGCATACATATATATATATATATATAGATAGGAACCAACTTCCTTCATATGCTACAAAAACTGACACAGGCTCCTTTTTTGAGAAGGGAACGGAACCAAAACAAATCAAATCAATGTCTTGAACATGCAAATACCAGATAATCGTTATGCTACATACAAAAGCATAGCAGCGATTCTGGTCCCAAACGAAAGACCTTGGGAAAACACAACCTGGTTGAAGGGCAGAATTTTGATGCAAGCTGGTACTTCCAAGGCTTAGGGTGCTCTTAACGCAGGTCGCAGCCAACTTCTCATGAAATACGTTTCTGAGGACATGAGTCTGCAGAGGGAGACCACCCAGATGATGTTGGTCAACTTTTCTTTCTACCAAGGGGTCAAACCGAATCCCTATTATGTATAGACATAGGGTTAATAACCTCCCCCGATTGTATAATTTGGTCCACCTTGAGGCACGCCTTTCAAGAAACTTCTGGCCAAAAATTGTGAAAATTTGACACTAACCCTGCCAATTAGTTTGGTCAACCTTTTGGTGCACATGTTCTTCCCATATTAACTGCCTTCCACCACCCCTTCCACCAATCTCTCGTTCTATGGTACCTCAAACCTTGTTGACCTTCCATGTGGGGGGCTCATAACTCCAATATTTAACAAAACTCCAATAACTCAAAACTCCAACCACTGCACTCCTAATAGTCCTTTTGCTCCTGCTGCCTCATGGCTGGCTCATACCTCATGGTTGACCCATCTCTTCATAAGAATCTCATTGCTTTTGATCTGGCCACAAATTACCCCCGCAAATCACCCAGAATCCCAAACGGCTCCCCCAGTAATTAATCAATGTTTGTGAATTGCCTAATCAATCAATTGATCAATTCCCCCAAAAAAGTCTTTGGGGATCCCTCCTCATGAAGAGATTTGGTCTTTGGGGCCTCTCCGCTCCTCATGAAGATACTTATCACGCTTATCAGATTTAGTCACTAGTCTTGGTGACCTCTCCTGATTGACTCCCCCAAATAGCAAACCTTGTGGGGGGGGTTCTTATTCCAGTCTACACATGACACAGTCACATGTTTCCTTTGATCTCCACACACATGATGCTGAGAACCTCGCTGTCGAAGACCTCTTGTTTCCGATCGACTCCAGGTGAGGACATTCGAGACCAATCGGATCCGTCTGGCTCGTGTCGGAAAAGACGGGACCTCTGACACAGATGAACCCGCAAAGGAGAAGGACCACATGCTCCGAACATGTCTGCATGGGTAGGTTGATGTTTTTGAACAGAGCTTTTAGCACTCCGTAGAACACCGGCCAAGTGTGCATTCTAAAATTAAAGAATCTGGATTCGACCTTTATCTGGATTCGACCTTTATATAAAACGTGATCAGAAGCCTACAGGCAGTACTAGTTGTTAATCTCCATCCAACCCAAATCCAGCCCCGCCCATCTCACCACATCAAACACCGCTCCGCCTCGTCCTGGTCGTTTTCGGGTGTCGGGGGTCGGAACAGCCCTGTTCAGAACGGGCGACCTCCAAAAACCAAGGCCGGTCGCCGGCACCGGTCGCTCGTGCGAGGGGAGACTTCGGTCAGTCTCACGCGCTCGGTGGTAGCGCTCGGTTGAGGTGGTAGCGTCTCACCCATTCGAGTGTTCAGCATCCACAAATGCTGAACAAAACAGATCCCCTTTTTTCCAGACGTACACTGCCCGAAATTGGATGCAAACAATCAATTCATTTTACTGTATAATATACGTATTATAATACGAGTTTGGCTGTGGCCGTAAGGTTTTTTTCTTCTTGAAGCTTATAATGTGGATGTGGCACTTCTGCGCTTGTATGAATTTCCTGCAACTGCTGCATACCCGTTTCAACGAATATAAGAGGGTCAAAAAAGACAAGAGTTCTTGGATTGACAATATCGCTCTCAGAGTCTAGTAGTCACAATAAATATATCTAACATACGGAAACTGCCCACCCTGAACTTGTGGGAGTGTGGTGTTCTACACTGCATGTCCACTAGGTTGCCTAAGACTTCTATTCATTCTATTAAACAAAAAAAAACAAACCCATGCTGCCAGCACCTGAAACTGAAAACATCACGTTTTATAAGTCGTTCAGATGCCCAAGAACCAGAAGATCTTGGTATAACAAATGGTTACACAGTGTTTGCCCAGCAATGAAAGCAATGAAAGCAAACAAGTAACAAATAACAACTACACAACCACACCAAGCAGTAGCAAATCTGATCTCCAAACCAAAGAGCCCCCCTCCAATGGGCCGACCGTGCCGGTTTGTGAGGCGACGGCCGGGACAGTGACGGGTCGGAACCCCTTTATGGGGTGCATCGTCGGAGACAGCCGAGGAGAAACCATATAAGTGAGGTTGGAAGAAGCACAACAAGTGTATATGTTGGATCTATCCTATTACCTGTAACAGTGGATGATGATGGTTAGTAAAGGCCTTGTTCAAAAATGATTACAATTGTTTACTGACTGTTACAGGTAATAGGACAAACCGAATGTATATGACATAAATAATATGATAACCCATCATCTCAAGATCATCAGGGATATGGAGTTCAGTTTTTACTTTTCACTCCAGCAAACACATCACATGGAAGAGTGTGGATGGATTCTCCCCTGTTCGTATAGAGGAAAGTCATCTTCCAAGGGGCCAAGTCTCACTTCCATTGGTTCCGTGTTCATCTGTTTTTCACATCTACCAGCAGCCACCAAGAGACGGCCGGTCTGTAACTCCGTCGAGTTTCCATGGCTTCGGGAGACTACAAGTTAAGCGTCTTTTTGTTGGTAGAGTCCGGTGCGCTTTGGAAAGACACAAACACACCAAGATCATATGTCTGTGGATCGCACCCGGATACCTGGCTGGTTCACCTTGCTGGTTGACCAGACCGACCCACTGGAAGGTCGGTCGCGGTTCTGGTGGACCAGTGACTCATGGCATGTGGTGCGACCGGACCCTACGGGGCGACCGGACCCTACGGGGTTTCCGGGGTCCGCAACTGAAGTCGACTGCCCTTTGATGCGTATTTGCCTATTGGCAATCATTGGGGCTTGGCATCTTCCATGTGTCTGGGTGGATTCAAGCATACAAGGACATCCACCGCTGCCCGCGGTCAGTCGTGGTGTTCCTCCTACACCTTTCATGAAAAAACACTTCTCGACCTGATGGCGTTCTTCCAGGTGATCATCTCAGGCATGGCTTTTTTTGGTCAGAACCCTGGTGGGTTGTCGCATGACCTGGAGGACTATACATACCAATACCAGATCTACAAGCTTCGCTTAGAAAACTAGAGAGTGCTTGAGGTGGGTGCCTGCAAGAGCCCTCCTCAAGCACTCTCTAGCTTTTTGGGGGAAGCTTGTAGACCTTGTAATTAAAGATTCTAGATTCTAGATGATTCTAGCCATTCTTAGAACAAAGCTTGTTGCAGCAGGTGATGAATTTGAGATGGTAACATATGGTAACCATGACTGGTCTGACTGTCGAGGGAGGACAGGTTTCTACCTGGGTGGCATCCATGAAGTTGTGGCTTCCACGTCACATCCGTTTCTCCTTCGGCTGGCTCGCAACTCAGGCGACCACTGGCACACCATTTCCACGCAGAAAAACACGCGGATTCGCACCGCCGAGTTGGGCGCACCGGAGATGTCACGCGGATTCGCAAGTCACGAATGTATCGTACCAAAACAACTTAGGTCCTCTAAGACTCTAAGTCTATGGCCATATGATTTGAAGATGTTTGAAGGGTGGATCCACGATGACATAGAAGAACCGTTTTGATCCCTTTTGCTCGTTTCCGTGAAAAATCATCACAAGATCCAATTTCCCACAAAAAAAGACCGTAGGAGACTGTTTCACAGTCCAGGATCGCAAAACGGATCACGGATCGTGGACAACCGACAACCAGGATCTGCTTCTTCCAACTCAAGATGTTTCCCAACTATGTCACGACCCATCTCCATAAGGCCAAAACCAAACACAAAACATAGAAAACACAAACACACACACACATAGCTGGAGGGATCTGTTCCTAAGACTGTACGGTCGTAACTGGGACGTTCCACGTTCCAATTTCCGCCGAGGGTTTTGCATGAAGTCACTGAAGCACCGCCCTACACTCCGCCACATGCTTGATACTCATGATACTCTATAATTGAAGTAGGGAGCCTTCCCAGTTCGACACCATGGAAGGAAATTAGACGAACAAACCCATTGAGCCCGGGGGTCTCTATATAAAACACACACACACACATTCACAGCTCGTGGAAGATTCGGGAGGCTTCAAACTGACCCCTCCAAACCCTTGAAGACGTCTGACTGCCTCTCCAACATTCTCCAACTCCGTCCATCATAGCATGTCATGCTATACTGTCCAAAAAGCAGGCTATCAACAGGCTAAGCATGGCTTGAAGAAATTAATTGATCATCTGCCCAGCTTGGCGTGCAAAAATCAAGACAGGCTGCCTAAC